GGTCTTTGGCAACCCCTCTGACACCCCTCATGACCCCCCAGGGGTCCCAACCCCCAGGTTGAGAAATGCTGGTTTATCAGATGTTTCCACAAAAGGAAAGCTACTACTATATCTAAGAAAGCTCTGTCTTGTGCATTCACCAATCTAGCCTTTCAGCTCACTTGAGAGGAAGCTGTCCTTCAGTTATGTCTTCAAGCTGCTTAGTGCTGCATAAATCAAAACCAGTCTCATCAATTTAGCTCAGAAGCAAATGGGAAACCACTGCAGTTGGTATAAGACTGGTGATGTGTGGTGTCTAGTGTATACACCCAGTAGCAAATAGGTAGTGCTTTTGCATTATCTGAATCTTCTAAAAATATTTCAAGGGCAACCTTGTATAGACAATTTTAAAGTAGTCTAATGGGAGCTAATATGGTGATGGGGGGAAGGTGGCAGGGCAACGCACGTTGCTGCCATTTCTCCCATATGATAGGGACAGGATGCCAATGTGCCTTGTCCTGTCTTCAGCATATGAAGAGGGAAGAAGGCAGGGCACGTGGAGTGCCTCACCCTGCACACCTTGAAACTGCGAGAAGAGTGGCATGGCCCCAGGGGCCATGTGAAGAAGTCCTATTGGTGTGTATTTTAATTTCTGAGACAGTTACTATATTTGGACCACACAATACATACTACCTTGTGGTGAGACCAAATCAGCATGGCCCAAAGCTGTTTTTCACAACTGGATATAGTATCTTTTAGCTTCCAGAACTTCTATACTCTGATTTGTTTCTTACATGGTTTGCTTCAGGTTTTTAATTGGTTTGGAGGGGACAAATAGAGAATGTGAGATATTAACTTCCACCCAACATGATAAACAAATGGTTTGTTCATCTACTCCATCTACAAGTAGGGGTGATTGTGGGCCAGGGCAGAATAGGCTAGATTTAAACTCAACAATCCTGAGTTTGTAGAGAAAGACTGTTTGTTGCTTTCTCTGAATAGGCTTGTGGTGCTATTGGAGTGCATGAATGAAGGGAAAACATCTTAAGATGTGTCTCTGTCATTAATAAATTCTATTGCAAGCACTCCATTCCCTCCCCCGTAGTTTGGGTGTTTGCCCATTGCAGCTTGGTCACCTACTTTTAAACCTTGGTTTACAGAAAGGATTGTCTTTTAAAAGATGAACCCTTCTAAACACATGGGATTATAATAACCAGCTATCAAGTGAATATAAATGTTTAAATAGACATTGTTATCTAAAGTGGGATGTCATTTAGATGGCATATTTGCTTTCTCATAGCAAACATCCATATCATAATGATGACACTTATTGGATAACGCTGATGTTATGAAAGCGTTTAATTTACATCTGGACTCAACGTTTGGAATGAAACATTAATATGGCAATCCTACTAATGAGACAGTTGCTTGAAATGTATAAGGCAGAAATAGGAAGTTGTATGAGTAAGTAGAAACTACAAATTGTAAGCTATTGAAATGTGGAAATTAAATTGAAAGTATTTGTGCTGGCTCTAACGTGCATGCACAGTGATCTTAAAAAAACTAGGCAAAGAGGGAGCATAAAAATAACTTCATTATATATTATTTGGATGTTTGGAAATATTTGGATACATAGACCTTTGGAAGCAAATCTACAAACAATTTGAATAAATATCTTCGGATGCAAACAATGAATTCTTTTCTTCACCAGTCTGCAGTATTTTCTCAACTGCCATATCTAATATAATTTGATATCTGGCCACCCTCCCCCAATTTGTAAAGTTCTAAATAAATTTTGAAACATTGCAGAGGGCTCTTTTGAAATAAGAATCAATTACTGAAATTTCTGAATTGAATATCTGTTTCTATATAGTTATTCATATCTTTCTAGAATAAAACAGACTTGTTCTTTAGATAGAATTTCTGATATAATAAAGATTTGAGAACTACAAATTTCACAAAATAGGAATTAAGTCACAAAATAGGAATTAAGTAAATGGAATCACTGAAAAAACTGTTCCACATTCTCCGGCTGACCAAACACATTTAATCTCTTATCCCTTAATTTCAAGTGGCTTGCTTATGCAGGGACAGCCCTAAAAGTATTAATTGAACAGAAACTGCTTGAGAGACAATTGATTTCATAATGATGCCTAATAAACCCGGCAGTCTCAAGATGATACCTCAGGGATGTTTGATCTATAACATTAATCTTTGTTGTGTGCTCTAATATTGTAAACATGGCATCTGACCTTTTCTACCTTGGTTATCCAGCCAGGTTTCAACTGTAGTATTTTAATTATTAAGCGGTTCATTGTGATAATATCAAAGAAGTGATTTAGAGGACTGCAAGTAAAATATGGAAGTGCTAAATGATTGAGAGACCTGGCATCAATCTCTATATGTAAATTCCATTTCCTATAGTAAAAGGTAGTTTTGGGCTATCGAGTATATTTCTGGAAATTGCATTATTTTGTGTAGTCATAGAATCAAGGGACCAGGGTAAAAGCACACAAAAGTTTCCTCTAATCTTTGAATTCACGGATTTTGATAAGAAATGAATCACCAGCATATTCCTTAACAGTTTATAATTTATGTTGCTTTGATTTAGAGAGGTCAAAGTAGGGAGAAATATCCTCCAAAAGACCCCCTGAATTCATTTTCAAATAAATTTTTTACATTTGTTTATTACAGAATTGTTAATTTTTTTCCTACCTGAGGAAGTGGAGTGTGTGTGTGTGAAGGGGTGGGGGTGGGGAATCAGTACTGATAATTGAAAACAAAATATTGCAAAAACATTTTGCACTCATTACTTGAGAAGCCAGATCTGACCACAGTGGTTCACATATCCTATCTGGATTACTGTAATGCACTCTACATGAGGCTGCCTCTGAAGAGTGCTTGGAAACTTCAACTGGTCCAAAGAGCTGCAATCAGGTTGCTCACTGGGGCTGGCTACAGGGAATGGACAACCCCCCTCTTCATAGGTCATCCACCAAGGTGACCAAGCTGTCTCTGTTCCATAGGCAGGCCTGAAACCAGATTGAAATGGTTCTAGATCAGATATGGACAAACCCCGGCCTGGGGGGCAGATGCGGCCCCTTGGGCTTTTTTCTCAGGCTCTCCTCTCTCTCACCATCCTATCCTTCTCTCTTTCCTCTTTCCTTCCCTCCCTTCATTCCTTACCTCTCTATTCCCCTCCCTCCTTCCTTCCCTTCCATCCTGTTGTCCTTCCTTCATTCCCTTTCCTCACCCCTTCTCTCTCTCTTTTCCCCCACCACTCTTTATTCCCTTCCACTCTTCCACCTTCTCTCCCTCCCTCCTTTCCTGAGGAGGATGTTTAGCTGGGAGAAGAGAAGGTAGAGAGGGAACATGAGAACCATGTTTCAAGATTTAAAAGGGTGTCCCATTGAGGAGGAGGGGGGAAACTGACTTTCTGCTGCTCTAGAGACGAGGGCACAAGGGAGCAATGGTTTCAAATGGCAGGGAAAGGGATTCAACTGAAAAGATTAGGAAGAACTTCCTGAGAGTAAGAGCTGTTGTAGGCTGCCTTGGGGTGTGGTGGAGTCTCCTTCTCTGGAGGATTTTCTGCAGAGGCTGTTTATTGGGAGTGCTTTGATTGTGCCTTCTTGTATAGCAGGGGGTTGGACTGGATGGCCCTTGGGGGTTTCTTCCAGCTTTGGGATTCTAGGATTATATATCAGGAGTAGTCAATATGGGGTCTAATGGATATACTTTTTCTCTTCCATCCATCATCTCATCCTGACCAAGGTTAACCCTTTTGGGATCCAGGTGTTTCCTGTCTTTCCTTCACTTTCTGCCTCCGAAAGAGAAGAGGAAGGGGAGGAAAGGGCAGGGAGGGAATTTCGGGAGAACACCCTTCCTCCCAGCCCGCCCACCATGTGGCCCCCAAGTTAGAAAGTTAGCCCATGCCTGATCTAGATAATCTGTTTCATCCAGAAATCGCAGGAGTTGGAGTCTACCATATGCTTCAAGACTTTGCTCAGAAGAGAAGGTTGGACACTGGCCATTATAGAGGGGTTCAGGGATACTTTTCAATATAGGGCCCATGACTGCCTCCTTTAGGCAAGTTGAAACTTTGCCTTGTTCCAAGGAGGCGCTGACTACCACTTTCACCTACTTTGCCAGTCCTCCTCTGGCCTGTTGGATCAGCCAGAAAGGGCAAGGATCTAGAATACATATGGTAGCTCTCACTTCTCCAAGGATCCTGTCCCCATCCCCAGGCTGCACAAACTGAAAGGTATCAATCAACACTGGACATTCATGTTACCAGATTACATTTCAGTGATTGTTATTGGTAAGGAAGCCAATAGTTGTGCTATGGGACATTAAACAAAATTTCCTTGTCTGTATTGTATTAAGTAAGCATCCAGTTCTTATCCTTAAACTTTTTGAGGATTGAGAAGGAAATAGTAATACTTCTGGAACAAAATGTATTTGTTATTTATTATTATGTTTATTTATATCCTGCTTTTCCCCTTCATATGGAGACTCAAAGCGGCTCACAGTTGAAAGCATTACAATACAACTTAAAATATACAAATATTAAAACAGTATTAGACATCATTAATATTAAAAAACAATTCAGGTTAAATTCATAAAAGTATATAAAATCACAGCAGATAGAACAATTATGATAGAATTGTTCTAGGTGGGTTCCAGCTGATGAAAGCTGTCTTTGCTTTTGGCAATACAACAGTTGAATTTATGGTATACATCATGACAGTTCAGAAGCAAAACATTTTTGTGAAGATAATATGATGCAATAACATGATTATGTGCACGTTCACTAAGATGTGTGCTCTAGTACTGCATTCAGTAAGGGTATGCATCCTGGTAAATCAGGGTGAGATTGCATAATTCCATTTGAGAGTGACAGATTGTGAGTAATGTTAGTTCTTCTCGAGTTCCGATATATAGTTTTAAAAGTTAGACTGCATCAGTTGCAATATTTTGTTTTATCAGAACCAGTGTAACACTTTATCTTTTTGGTATGTTAGGTGCAGAGAGAATTGGCTACAGTTCTTGCTATGAAGGCAAGAAAATCAGGTGAGTACTCCAAACATTTGATTTGGCATTTTCTTATTGTACTGTGTGCCGTAGACAGACACAGAAAATGAAAAGCAAATTGAAAGTAACAGATATTTGCTTGCATGCTCTTCTTCTGTCTGATTGTTCCTTTTGTATTGTCTCAGTTAATGTCGTCTTGATGTCGAATAAGCATAATCGAGTTAGCCGTTTGGACCACTTTCTTATACAGATCAACTGTTCTGTTTACTTCCCTCTTTGAATAGGCTTTAATGTTTTAATACGCATTCTCTCTATTTGAAATATGTTGGTTGTGATTTTGAAGGTCATTTTTTCATTGTTTTAAAGAGTCTCTGTATAACCAGAGAGCTTTTGAATTATGTTTTCCAAGAGTGCCAAAGGATTCCATTAAAATAAAAGACGATTAAATGTGGAGAACAGTTGCCAAGCTCCTGTTAGCCAGTTCTTTTTCATAACACTGAACGGGTATAAGGTATATTTGAGGAAGGGGTGCCATGTATAGATTGTGTGGAATATAAAGAGGTTCAACTTTTCTTCTTTCTTTTCTGAGTTTGTATGCATTTACACCATTTCTGCATATGGTTTTCTGAGATTTATAGCAGTATGTAGAAAGATCATGCGGATATAGTTTGTGGCTACCTTCACATTAAGCAGGACGTATCAAGGAACCATGTAAAAATTTTATTTTGTTCTTTGTGTACTTAGAAAACCATTATTTCCAAAGTAAGGTGGATTCCTTTACAATTAATGAACAGCAATGCTAGAATGCTAGAGTTTTGTGTTGGTATAGGAATTCGAGGAGTAGGTAAAATATGGAGAGCCAGTGTGATCTAGTGGTTTGAGTGTTGAACTATGACTCTAGAGACCAGATTTTGAAACCTGGACAGTAAGAGCTTTTTGACAGTGCAAAAAAGCTGTCTTGGAGTGTGGTAGAGCCTCATTTTCTGGAGGCTTTCAAACAGAGGTTGGATGACCATCTGTCAAGAGTGTTTTGTTTGTGTATTCCTGCATGGCTGGGGGTTGGACTAGATGGCTCTTGTGGTCTCTTCCAACTCTACGATTTTATGATGCCTGATGATCATGGCATGTGATATTGCATAGTATATATATGCACAACTGATTGTCATAATGGGTTTTTAGGCATTTAACTATGGAAATCATCAGTACTTCTGGGTTTGTAAGCTAGGTTCAGGCAATAAATATAAAATCTGTAGAAGTCAGAACATATTCTAGATAATAATCCAGTATACAAAGTATTATACTTCTAGCTGTCTAATAAAAGTCTGGTTTCTGGTGCTTAATTTTGTGGCTCATCTCTCTTGAGGTCAATTAACAAGAATAGAGAAAATGAACACTAACTCTCCTTGTAACACAGTGTCAGGTAGGCGATAGTCTAAATTTTTAAATTTTAGTTGCTGAGGGTTTAAAACAACGTGGGAAGTTGCCTTTCATAATGTTCTGCTGTAGCAGTAATAAAATGCTTATTCCTATATACCTAAAAGTGATAGGAAGGTGCAGGTGTGTTTTGCAGAGTTGTGGGAATGGGTAGATAAAATCCTATTTCCTATTTGATTTCTGAGAAATGGATCCTTTGGGAATAGCTTTCTCTCTGGAAACCAAACTAGCATAATGAGAAGCCTTCTCTGCAAATTCAATATTAGCTTTACACCTCGGGTCAAAATAAAGTTAATGACCATTTGCACACCAGAGATAGAAAATTGCATTACATTTCATATTGTCAATTTAAAAGTATAACATTACACTGAAGTAATTTATATTTAAATTGATTTAAATTACACACCATGGTCATTGAGAATACTAGAGAACAAAGGTGAAAAAATGTCCTTGCTTCAGTGATATTTGTCAGCTTCATCAAAGAAGTTGTTGTAATATTTATCCTACAGATAAAAGATACAGAGTTAGAGATGACAGCTGGATGTAATAAACAATCAAACAAATAAAAAGAAATGATATACCTGCTGGCAAAGAACATGCAGAAGGGATGCATATATAGATTCTAGCATTCTACAAACTGTAGAAGACCTTATCACAGTCTTTGCATTAGCAACACATTGAAGTAGACTGAAGTCTATGAAAGCTTATGCTATCAACTTCTTTTTCTCAGGCTCAGATGTGACACAAGATCCCTGTGCATATATTTCCTATAAATTTCACATCTTTGAATCCAGAATAGTATTTATTACAAGATTATTTATGTACGAGTTTACATTAAGATTTTAATTATACTGTACATTGAAAAGTACTATTTTTTATTCATTTAACCATAACATTTTACACATAGATGCTGCCATCTATGTGTTTTAGCAAATACACAATAAATGAGTGATCCACCTTTTAGTATTACCCATCCCTGGTTTGGTAATTATTTTAATTCAGCTGAAGACCTTTCCAGTGGCCTGTGTGCTATCTAGCAGGAGCGTATTTTTATGCTTATATTTCAAAATATACTCTTGGCTGGAGTGAAAGGAGAATTCAACTGGAACTCCAACATCGGCAACACTGTGCTGATTCATTGACGTACTTTTTTAAAGATAGCAAATTACATGGAATCCCAATTTTGGGAGAAAGGCAAGATACAAGATAAGTATAATAAAATATAAAACTTTATTTCTGGACCGCCCTCTCTCCCAAAAGGGACTAAGGGCTGTTTACCCACGGGGAAAGGAAACATTCAATGCCTTACAAAGTATAAACAACTTTCAGTAGTCCAAATGGGAAGTGACTAAGGTGTGGACTACCATGACTGAATCTGGCATCTCCAAGTAGGGGCACAGCTGGCGCACAGGTTTTAACTGTGCGAAGGTGCTCCTGTCCACCACTGATATCTGGGTTTCCAAGGTCAGCCATTAGTCCAGGATTAACCCCAGGCTGTGAACCTGTATCTTCAAGGGGACTGTTATCTCATTCAAAACAAGCTGAAGTCCCACACCCTGATCCACCTTACAACTGACCAGGAGTATCTCAACATGTTGGTCCTCATCCAGTCCATTACTGCTGACAGACACCGGTTCAAGACCAGAACAGCATCCTTGGCATTTGGTGGAAAGGAGTAATAGTATTGGGTGTTGAACATTTCTTTCCTCTGTAGTCACCATTTGAAAAAAATGCCTGGCCCATAAATCCGAGGTTGTTACTCCAGATCTGCCTTCTGGACAGTCATTTTTAAGTTGTTGCTTTGCAATTTTTGAGTCTTTCTTTTTGTGCAGTTTTATAATCCTTGCTATAAAATGAAATATCGCTAACATCCTAATTTATTTTGGTGTTATAAAATTTACTGACTTGTGTAATGTTAACAGATATTTTAAATGTCAGTCACATCTGGTTGGAAATGAGATGCTTCCCCTTATCTTTATGCTGTGAGGTCCCACAGTCTGTGCTGTGGAGGAAAGAGCCTCCCACTGTCCATTGTCTTTGCTCCAAATCATTATAGCCTATTAGTCTTAAATGCTTTGAGATCCCCTCCCTGCATTTTGATGAAATACTTCTGGTGTTTGCGTGGGTCAATAGAACTGGATGATCTTTTCACCGAGTAGCATTGCCAGCAAGGGAACTGCCTTGTGTTTTGTGTATCTACTGAATCATTCAGCACAGAATGGTCAGTGTTAATTGTTAACACACTATAAAGCTAAAGGGAGGAAGTTCACACCTTCCTTGGCTTTATTGTTCCAGCTTGCTTGGCAGCACAATGTGTTGCCCATAATTTATTAGTTTATGTTGAGCAGTTTATCACTTCACCCAGAGGTGGTAATTTTTAATTTTTTTCTGTGCAGTGCAGTGCAGTAGAACACCCAAATATCATGAGTTTTATTACTCTTTATTAAGTGGACTCAAAGATAACTACTAGGTTCAATTCATGTTCAGCTTGTTGTCTTAGGTAAGAGCTAAATTTTATGCCTTTCATTTTATTGGTCAGGTAGCTATATTACCCATCATTTCTGATATAGTTCTTCAACCCCATGAAAAAGGTAGGGGGGTTATTCAAAATCCGAGAAACAGAAATGTATGAAAATTGATTATTGATGCTCAACTAAAATTTATTTAGTTTTAGTAATGTGTTTGGTATACATCGATATATCAGTCCATGCTCTTCTCTCATAGCCTCCTTAAAGCTATCAGGAAATTATGTGCTGTTACTATTTGCTAGATAACTGTTTAGAAACTGGAAAAGTGTAGACTAAGAGAAAGTAGGGATTAATGGCGGAAACTGTGGACCAGACTTATTGTTTGTTATAATAAATTATTTTTTTTACTGTCCATCATAAATGAATGTTCCATTAAGGTTAGAGTAGGTTATTTCTGTCTCTAAGGAACCTCTGAAATAATTTAATAAGCCTTTTTGTGTGTGGCTAGAACAATAATCCTCTTTGTGCATAAATATATGCAGTGCCTCTGCTGAAGCAAGACTCTACTTTATTATTGGTTTTATAGAGAATCTTGAAAGAAAAAAATCCTTCTTGTTGCCCACAAGGGAGCAAGAAAATTAAATCAAGGCATAGCCTCCTGATCTTTAAGTGACCATTTAAAAATCGACATCCTGAACTCTTTAGGTTCATTTGCAGATGGGCACATTTGGAATTGCACTTCAGCAAGCTAATGCCCATTTAAGATCTTTGCATTCTTTTATTTGCAATGACCTTTTAAATGAACAAAATAGGAGAAATAGTATAGAAAGGGTGTGTGGTAGCAATAATTTCGACTGCAGGCTTATTCACTCTGCTTGCATTGTATGTGCCACATTGAACAGATTTGTGGTCCTAATGAGCATAGCTTTTTGGTTTAAGTAATAAAAGCATTGCCTTTTGTTTTAATCTTGAGAATGAATAGAGGAAGTCTGTTGATGTTGGCATAATTAGTAGAAATTTCTACTGTTCAGCCTGCTGCCTACCACCCAAAGACTGTAAGTTATGATGAATTTGAGGAAACGACTAGCATTTTCTCATCCCACCCTTTTATACAACCCGGAATCTATAAGCCAAGAACAAACACTGGTTTATGATCCCGACTCTCAAGAAGTACAAGAAAGGAGGATGCAAGGCTTAGACTATGTGCTAAGTCAACTGCTTTGGCTTTTTGTTGTGGAAGGCTTTCATGGCCGGAATCACTGGGTTGCTGTACGGCCATGTTCTTTGGCTTTGTTTTATGATTTTTTGTTGTGAATGTTGTATAAATTGATCCTTCTATTCGGTGCTAATTTTTTTGCTTTGTTTAAAGGAAACAGAAGAAATAATCTCCTTCCACCTTGGAATGCCTCTTGATATAAATGTATGAAAAGACATATATTTCTATCATCAAATGGTTTCAGTTGCATTGTGTATAGCAGACATTCTTTACTTCTCTGACTTTGAAAAGGGTTTCTTTGGAGTTATAGTAATATGGGAAGGTGTCTTCTTGCTCCTGCTGTAGCTCCCGAAGCTGCGAAAGTCTTTACAGTACTTTAAGTGCCAGCACCTTCAAAATAAAGCAGGGGCTATAAATTTAGGGCTGGCAATTATTTTTTGGGAAAATAGTATTCATAACATTTTGGAGAACACCTTTCGGAGATTGTAACTCTTTGATCTGTTAGGAAAACAGAGATTTGCCAGTGCATAAAAACAGCAGAGCTTTAGAAGTGTTTTTCAGTGCCTATACACACACAAACACACACACACACACACTCTTCCAGAAAACAACTGGTTGGGAATCAAGAGCTGTTAGGCTCAAAATAACCCCCACTTTGGGGTGATTTCATAAAAATATAGCAGAGTGCCAGAAGCACAGTTCATAGCCAGCAGATACTTTCATGTAATGAGGAAAGATTGGTTTCCATTCAACAGGATGGAACAGGATTTCAGATCCACAACTTCACAGGATCAGAATAATATGCTTATTAAAGATAAAAGAAATCCATTCTTGATAGGAAAGGTTCTTAGAGCTAACTAGCTACACTGGGCTACCTTCTAAGGAAAGAAAAAAAGCAAAAAGATAGCAAAATGGCTATGTCTACTACATCTTGCCTGGGCAATGGCAAGATGCCTCCTCACTCTAGAGAAGATAAAGGGAAGAGCGAGGCCAAAATGGAGAATTGACCACATGCCCTCACCAGGGCAATAAAATACCTTTAAAGAGGAAGTTGTGTTTTCCCTGAAGAGATCACATTGCTAAGTATTCAAAGGGGGAGGAGATAGTTGCATGCAGGATGAGTAAGACAAAGCACCTTCTAAGCCCCTCCTTAACATAAACATGCTTGAGGAATATGGGAAGGAATCACTCATTCTAATCTATCAAGGTTAGTTACTCATTGAGGGCTAGAGACTTGTGCAGCCAGGGATGAAACCCAACACAACTTGTTTTATATTATGCACTCAAGAGACAATAATGAAGTGGACTTTGATAAAAATAATATATTTGGTTGACTCACAACCTTCATGTGTTCAGCATACACAGGTACAAAACCTTATTAGTCCAGTTTCAGATATGTTTGAGATAATTCTCTGTGCCATCTGGCTAGGACATTTCTTACAGCAAAACAGCAAGCAAGTGTGTGATCTGAGGCTAAAGTAGTCTATAGTAGTCTTCAGTCAGTCTACTAGTCTGCTGTAGTCATGAAGTGATCATGTGGCCTGCAGCCCCTTTTGTTACTTTTCAGGAACCATCAAGGAAACTGCATACCAGAACATGCATTCAACAGTAAGCAACAGGATCATAAACATTACTAGAGAAGGCTCGAAGAAGGTTGTCATTTGCAACAGACCAACCTCTGAATTACAAATCATAGGCAGCTCTGACCTGTATAGCTAATGATGAGGGATAATCGGGATTGCAGTGCAGGAGCATCAGAAGGATTGAATGGTTCCCAGACTTGAACTTGAATATGAAAGAACAGGCAAAATTGCAGTCTTAAAGTAGAACTAATGAGACCTATAGTTGCACTAAGGTGGTTATTAGACCAATATCTCAGTTTAATACTCTTTTTCTATCCATCCTGTTTTCACCCACCTCCATTCTATTTTGACTACAGTCCTTTTTTGTCCAGGCCTCTGCCAAGCTAAAATGGTAATACTCTGATAGACTCCAGTCAAAAGCACACACCATATATAGTTTTTCCCCCCCTTGATTCAATTTTTCTCACGGCTGTAACTGATGCTTCTTTTAGAACATTGCAATGTGGGTTGTCTCAGTATCTATACCACACAGAGTGTTCCCAGAAGTGTCTGTTGGAACTTGCGTAATTCCTTGTGCAACCAGAGGAATTCAAAATAGTGTTCATGGCTGCCCCAGCTGTGATATAAATCAAAAGAGCAAAAGAAAGCTTGCTCACACAAACTTTTTTTCATATATCTATTCAAATGTAGAGACAGGTATGTGTGTGCACAAAATAAAACCTGGGAAATGGTAGAAGTGAAAAGCACTATAATTACTTGTTAACATTTTAGGAAATACGCTTGATTTGTCTGACTTGATGCACATTGACAATTTGACAATGTTAATGCTCTATTTGATGGCCTAGCTAGGTACTGATATACCTTCATTTTCAGTTCTACTTGTTTTGTAATATTCTTCTTTTCTTTTTCAGTAAAAGGACATACATATTTCTTTTCAGAAATGATTTTCTCCTTAGTACCCTTTGTGCACTTGAGATAGAGCTGCCAGTTTCAGTAAATTTATATCTAAGATAGATTGGAGTCGTTGTTTACAGTATAGAACAGGGATGGGCTTTCCTATAGACTGCAGCTCCACGCTCTCTAACCAACATATGTACCAGAAATACTGAGTGCTGCACTTCATTGATATATGCGCAGTCACCTCTAATGTAGAGTGTTGGATTACAATCAAAGAGATCTTTCTTCAGCTTGTGGAGATCACTTTATGGTAACATCACTTGAGTAATTTTGATAGTTAAAGATTCTTAGGCTATCTGATTTTTTCCCCCCTATGTTCCATGGACCAGCACTAAGTTTGTTCCTACTGGGTTTTTGGTTTCTTTCCTGGAAATTTGACACAAACCAACAACCAATGCCTCAGGGATGGGCCTCAGTTCAGGGGGCATTTCTCAAGTCTAATCTACCACAGACAGTTGTAGTGAAGATAAAAGGAGAAAAGGCCTCTATATCCCTCTTTTAATTATTTGGAGGAATGGTGACATATGTATGCAATAAATAACAGAAATTTAAGTATTACAAAGAATAATTTTTTTATTTGACAAAAGTAAATATATGTACATCATTGCAGGTGCAAGCATTTCGGAGTAAAGACCTGGGATAAGCACATCAAGGTCTTTTAGACATGGCTGTACTGCAAACTGGGAGATCTGATGGGAGTTGCTGTCCAGCACTCTCTGGAGAAACACACTTTCCTAATGTCTGCATGGGCTCTGTCTTTTGTTGAATATGGGAGAATCTGATAAAATCCCATTTAAAGTTAGTAATGCTCATGCATGCCTAACTAGCTGCAAAACTTTAACCTGTGAATTTCATTCTGGGAAAGAACTAGTTGTGTTTTGTGTCACTGTTGTGTTTTGAAGCTCAACTTATAAATGTTCCTCATTTCTTCTAACTAGCAATGAGTCATAATGATGAACATGGCAGTGAAGAAGCAACCCGGCAAGAAGATCAGAAGAATGTTCATGATGCAGAGGTAGAAGACAATACTAATAAAATATTGAGATTATTGGACCTTCTTTTGTAATAAAACATTTGACAAAACTTGATTGTGAAGATAGCTTGGTCATGATGGTTAATGCATTAGTAACTATGTCTGGAGAATAAATATACCTCAATTAATGAGGTAGATGTGTTCCTGGGTATTACTTCTTTGATAGAAATGTTGGTACTAGAGGTAGAAATAGCATGGAAAGAAGAGAAATGGGTTCCTATATCACACAAAAAAGAAAAAAGCAGTTCAGCATGTTTCACCAGACTAATAATATGTACAGTGAACCAACCAAGGTGGTAAACCTTGTAAAAGTAAACTGAACTTTTTGGACCTTGTAGAGACCTCTTGAAAGTTTCTTTCAAAATACATCTAGGAATGGTTTGATTTTTTTTTCACAACCTCCATTTTCTTTATGATTCCCCTGTTGGTATTCAAGCTTATTGATCTATGCTTTCTTAATGTAACATTGGTAGCTGGCGAGGCAGGCTTATCTGCTGCCCACTTTTCTCTCTATTGTGCTATTCATGCCTGTTCAGTAAGGGATTTGGGAGGCAACTGCTGCTTTCCATTCTGTCACCATTCTCCAATGCTGCTAAAACATTTGTGGGGTAGAAGATGAGGGGAAAAGAGGATGAAGATGTGGTTAAAAAGACTGTAAAAACGAGGTGCTTTGTCAGAAGCTTTGTTGAATGAGGTATATTTGTACTATATGACCCCCTCCCGCTGTATATATGGGGACCTCAACATCATGGAAAAACAAAATTATGGATATTAGTGAACCCTATTGAAGTGAATGACATCCATCAGCGGTTACTACAGAGTCTCCCTGAGTTGACTCTCTTGATTTCCACCTTTTTCTTAGCAAAGACATATTTTGTTGCATCCTGGTATTTGAAACCACAGGTAACCATTTTATGGGAACAGGGATTGTAGTGAATTACAGGCAGTTCCCAAGTTACGAACAAGGTAGGTTCTGTAAGTTTGTTCTTAAGTTCAATTTGGATGTAAGTCAGAACAGGTACATTATTAATTGTAACTCCAGCCATACACACACACAGATATTGATACCTTTGGATAGTATAGGAAAGGGTTAACACCTATGTGGTGTTTGTTTTGCTGTCTATGTCCCTATGTCCCTGTTCAGATTTTATTTTACTTTTGGCTTGTTGTGGAAACAAAGATTGGTGATAAAGCTTCAGTTGAGACACCTTTCCTCCATGATAACTATTTCAGGAGTGAATTTCCCTTCCTAGGGGAAGATTCCTCTCACTTCATGTTGTCTCACCACGTTCTTAACTATGACTCATTTGTAAGTCAAATGTTTGTAACTCAGGAACTGTGCATTAATATTTTTGAAATTGGTTAAAACTGCATCAAGTACAGAATGCAGTAGACAAGGTGCTTGACAAGCATCTGGCAGCACAAATTTCACCTTCATTGTGCTAGCTGTTGACTAATGAATGAATATCATGGTGAAAAGACATCCTACTTATTATTGAAACTATAGACTATCATCTAGGAGCATTTTTTATTCAATTGTATACTGGACACCTTTTAATACAAATTTTAAAAAACAATGAGCTGATTCAGAAGAGGGCCGAAATTAACTGAATGTAAACATGTCATAATGGAACCCTGTAATTATTAGTAATCACCATCCCAATGAGCCCCCAGTGGTGCAGTGGGTTAAACCCTGGTGTCAGCAGGACTGAAGACCAACAGGTCATAAGTTTGAATCCGGGGAGAGTGTGAATGAGCTCCTTCTTTCAGTTCCAGCTCCACATGTGGGGACATGAGAGAAACCTCACACAAGGATAGTAAAAACATCAAAACATCTGGGCATCCCCTGGGCAATGTCCTTACAGATGGCCAATTCTCTCACACCAGAAGTAACTTGCAGTGTCATTGGAATGGTTTTTGTTTTTGTTTCTTTTTGTGTCATTCCTGACACACACACAAAACAAAAACAAAAACCATCCCAATGACAAGAATGCTATTTCATCCACAAGCAAACTGAACATATTGCATTTAAATGTTTTTAGCAGAGAACAGTTGAAATAACCAATGATGATTTTTTTTTTGCATTTAACATCTGTAAATATTGCCATCAGGCTGGTTCTGCTTCCTATCACAATTAGTTTATATGAATGTTCAAAGTTTTGTTGTTCAAGATTTGAAGACAAAAGAATTAATTAAGTATTCATCTGCTCTAATAAGCAGCCTGCTAATAAGATTATATTGGTGGAATAGAGAAAACAACAGTAATTTAATTTAACTGAATCCAGACATTCAATTTGTCTGGAAGCTACTTTGACAATTTCTCAAACATTGTTGCCCTTCTCTCCTTTCTTGACTTCATGGAAATAATTTATGGTATTTAAATGGAACAAAAAAGATGGCCCAGGATAATACTATCTATTTGCTCATTTGTTAGTGCTAATAGAGCTTTTTCTTCTTCCTTGAAGACAAAACTTTTGATGAATATTGATGGTCTTTTACCAAATGGTAACTCAGTAAGTGTGTACAGGAAGCCAGTCAGCAGTATTTCCAAATGTGGAACAGTTTTCTGCTTCCCTGGATTTCTGATCAGGTGCCAAAATGTAAAATGATCCTGTTCCACTTAACAGTCAGATACAAATGACTGTCTTACCAAGTGTTTTTATGTACACTTGTTAATTGTACACTTGTCACAGTTGTACACATGATCAATGGTCATCTATAGAGTAGTTAACGAATACAAGATTTAAGTTTATGGAAGTGCATATTATTGTATTTGCTCTACTTTAGCAGTCAGCAGGAGTTTCTCAGAGCTAGAATATCTCTGAGGCTAAATCTTGTTTGGCATTATTTTGAGCTGAATGTGGTGACAGTCAGTTGCTCTCTATTTCCCAAAGGATCCACTATTTCACTTCCATGTCATTGTTAACTTCCTTTTACATCAGTGTGATGGCTTTCCTCTAGGGACGTCTTTTCTAGGGCTGGCTGTACAGCTAGAAGTGAATTGTCCAAATTGTGGACCACAAGTACTTTAAATACGAAAGTAGCAGGTAGTTTTTTTCCTTGTAGTGTTCTGAGTGTTTCGGCACAGTTTTGTGCAGCTCACACAGTGGCTGTGTATAACTTGTGCTACTTCACCATATAGAGATGGGGATTATTTTTAAAAAGCTGTCACAATAACAAAATTAGTCAGACAGTAATTTTTATACCTCATTAGATTGACTGATATCTTTCCCTATAATCCCCTTCTTGTATTTAAATCTATTAGTAAAGACAAATAACTCTGCTTTAAATGAAGGGTAGAAGAGAAGAGGGGCCTTCTGTGCATGATGCTGTAGATATGATCGAGACATTGAAATTTATGGAGAAGTTATGTAGGTTAGCTATTTTGTGTGTTCAGTTGATTTACCCTTTCTCTGTTTGTGACTTTTTGTAGCCTAGACAAATGTTGAACTTGCTGGCCATTCTGTCATTTGTTTACATTTATGGTAATGTGTGCAGAGGATTTTTTAAAATCACAACATTGTATTGGTTCTCTTGCTTGATATATCAACAAAACAAAGCATTCACTGATATATTTTCGAGATCTGTAATCCGTCTAAATCAATATGATATGTATGTGTCTGCCGATGTTTGTATTTAACATATTTCACTGACTATATTCCATGCATACAAAGAAGGGTGGAGTGTGAGAAACAGAAGTTTGTGCTGTTATTTTTAGGGATGACTCTCTTGCTCTCCATCCTTTTCCAGGGCTGTTCTTGGCTAACTTTCCCATGGATTTCTAACCTCTTGCTATGGCTCTCTTATGTAACAGGAAATAGGTTGACGGGAACAAACACAGAGTTAGCATATCAGCTGCACCCACAATAGTAGCTGTTTTAGTTCATGTTGTTCTCATTTTGCAAAGCAGATAGACTAGCTTTAAAAAGAGGGATCTTTGAGAACATTTATTGACATATTCCTAAACATTCTGTTCAGTGCAAAACTGCAGAATTAAGGCAGAACAATGGAGACAATATTTTCATTTTAAAGTTACAAGTTGGTGAATGTCATGTCCTGGGATTGTGGATTTAAGTATCTCTTCACTTTCCCTCCAACTCTCAAGGCAGGAGTTATGTGCAAACTTCAAGAACGAGAGGATATCGGGCGCCTTGAACTTGTCCAGAAACTGGCAAAAGAAAATAGCCATCTTCTACATGGAGACAAAAAAGAACCAGAGAAGACAGATCAGGTAGGATATTTTTTCCAGTTTGTGGTTTTTTTTAATAAAGTCATTGGATGCAATCCTGCAAAGTGTATCATGACTGGTTCCCATCCAGTCATTGAAACTTAATTCACAGTTAAGTCTTCTGCATGTTTATTAGGAAGTAATATTGTTTTGCATTCAGTGAACTTTCTTCTACTTTTATTGATATGCAACTGTATAAATCATACTCCTATACTCTATACTCCTATACTCTATACTCCCCTCCTACCCAAAGCTTTTAATTGGACAGTTATGACTTAAGTTTTCCTGGATATTGCCCTAGGCATCAGATTCATCCTTCTCGAAATGAAAATGCATTTCAATATAGTTTAAAAACACAAACAGACATCAGCAATTTCCATGAAATCCTAAAGGAGTTGCCTTAGGTTTTCAAACAACAGCTGTGGTTTAATCACTCTGGTTATTCAAGCCTAATAGACCTATCTGACAAATTAGCAAAAATTAAACTTCTGAAGATTCAGAGATGGATTTCTTTGATAAAACATTCTTGAAAGTTGATCACTCTTGTAAAATATAATTGTTTAAGTCTCTAAGCTAATGGGCTTGTTGTGAACTTCATAGGTGTCATTTAAAAAAAAACCTGAACTATTTTGTTTAATTGTCTTTTCAAGTCATTCTGAGATAACAACAACAACAACAACAACAACCTTTATTATGGTCCGTGACCAGCACTAAGAGGGCACAAAGCAGTTATAAAAACAGGTTACAAAACAGTTTGAAATCACAATTCAAAAACACAGGTCAATGTAGCAGGTATGGAACCGAGGGGTGGGGAGCGGGGGAGACTGATAGGAGAATAATTGGTGATTCTTCTCTGGCCTTTTCAAATTCTTTAAAACATTGAAAATTAATTTAGAAAAGTAACATGTTTAATTTAAGTTTATTGAAATGAGAAGGAAAATAAAATAATCAAGCATCTGAATTAATTGGATGGTATTACCTCTTCAGTTACTTCTCAAAACAGGGAGGGAGAAAAACTAAACATTATATCTATATTATAAAATTATTTTTTTAGATCTATTTATGTCACTTCGATAATTGTTGTTGATTCTTGTTTGTTACCAAAAAAAGAAATAAGTTTTGAAGAGGAGGAATACTATCAGAAGGTGACAGATTTTGCCCTGGGTACAAAAATTTGTTCCAGGTGTTCTTTACCTTGATGCAGGTCTGTACACCCTCATCATGAAGCTTGCAACAATACAACAGTTAGAGCTTCCAGATTAAAAAAAAAATAAACCCTACATAATGGAATTACTGGTTTGTAAATCTGTGGCCACATTTCAGGGGGAAAAAATCAGAGCTTGGTCCTCCTGATATTTCTTTCTTGCTGGGAGGAAATCATACTGGTGTATTGACTGTCCTATTAATCCTTGCTGGCTCATTCAGTTGGGCAGGAGGGCAAAAGCTGATGGGATGGGAGGAATGGGAAGAGGATGGGTGTCTATTTGGCAGATGGAGGGAGCAAATAGGAGAGAGCCACTGTTATAGCCCCTTCCTGTTTCCCTTGCAGTGTTGACCTTGATAAGTCTGGCTTTAATAGGGGTTTTTAAGTCCAGACCCAATGAGACCAGTGCTGGAAAGGAAACAGGAAAGGGTTGTGGTCCATCCTCCCTTGCAAGCACTTGTTAATGTCAAGCCCTGAAGGGAGCAGATGGGTGATCACTTTACAGATGGAAAACATCATTGAAGGGATTCTGAAATGGAGGTGCCTAGATATTTGAGTCAGTGGAGATCTGCATACACACACACACACACACACACACACACACACACACACACACTGAACTGAAAAAACAAATCTATCTGTCTCAGTAACACTTGCTGGCTGGGTGCCAAGTAAGACCTCTTTGGGACCCTTCCCACCATGAACTTTGCACACTTCCTACCCATACATACATTGAATCTTAGTTCTGAAAAGCAGACTTTGTTTAGTCATTCAAATATACAATTATCTGCATAAATACTCAGAACATTTAAAAAATGGTGACATCTCTCTTGCTGGACAAGGTAATCATCTTCACACTCCCTGTTTTCATCTCAGTTCCGGAATGTAAGACATTGTTTTCTTTTTTAAATTCCTCTTTGGCATCTGAAAGCAATGTTTTCACTTCAAAACCAGGAGAACATCATGTGTTCATACAGGATTCGGATTGAGATAAGGATGAATTATTTTGCAGGTGAGACTTCAGTCTCAGTTATCATGAAAGACAGTTATGTCTCCAAAGAAATATTAATGTAAGCCCTTAATCTTTGTTTATATAAGAACTGGGGAAATTTTTATTTCTTTGTTCTTAATGAAGGAAACAAAATGGAAATGAAAGTTGTATTATCTTGTTTGCTTGAGGAAAGAACATGTTGTCCTAAGTATAGCATCTATTCAAACTGTGATTGTATAAAAGACTTGCTTTGTTAGATAACTTGTTTTGTCCCTTCTAAAATGTTTATGAACGTTTTTGGATGGGAAAATTGAAAGTTATTTCTCTTAGCTGCATGATACTTTAGACCCCCAACTCTCACCACCTGGGAACAAACAAACACAAAGTCTGTTTGAATTCTGGAATGCAAGATGTGTAATTGAATATGTGCAATGTAAGTAATGTTCAGCAGTATTTGCTTTAAGCCTGTCTAGTCTTAGGGAGTTCTTGTGGCAAACTGGAAAAACAATTCTCTGAACAAAACTGTTTATTTATTTATTTGCAACATTTGTATCCTGCCCATATCAGCCTGTAGTTTCTCTACATTAAACATTGTTTAAGAGCACTACAGTAATATTTTCAAAAGGACTGTAAGGCTGTATGGAAGGTGTGTGTAAAATGGAAGAAATTAGCCAGGCCACATCCTTGCAACAGCTTCTTTCCTGAGCCATTAAAATTAGTTCTCATGTCGGAAGTTTTTAACATCTGTAAAATCATTATGAATAGAAAATGGATAGATATTTATGAGATCAAATTGCCACCAAAACAGTAAACTTGCAAATCTGCAAATCATGCAGAGTTGAGTATGATCTGTCCTGTGTTGCCTGCCTCTTAACAAGTTTCTGTAAAATGGAGGCATGATAAAGGACTATTTTCTTTTAAAGTAATAACATACTTTATTATTTATCCATCTCCTGCAGATACTGGGGTCAAACAGTATATAATGCTTACAACTTAGTATCCAACTTAATGGCAGGTTTGAATTATCTTTCTTGTGACCCTTCCCAGCTTGATTATGCATTAATATTTGTCTCTGTTTCACACTATCCCTTCTGATCTTTAAATGCTGGGTTATCAGTAACCCTCCTGTCTCCTCCACATGTCTTTCAGAGTCAATCCCCGGTCAATTCTCATGAGAATCACTTTCTGTTTCCCCGACAACATATCTACCCAAAACATTCCCATTGTCTTGAAAAAACACTTTCGCTTTCCCCCACAGAAACACCAGACTCAACCAAAAAATCCCTGTCCTCATCCTCAGGCTTCCCACCAGGGGTGTCCAAACTTTTTAAGTCAAGGGCCAGTTCACAGTCCCTCAGCTTGGAGGGGGGGGGCAGACTATAGTTTGAAAAAAGCATGAACAAATTCCTATGCAGATAGCATATGTCTTATTTATAGTGCAACCCCCCAAAACCAAAACCCCACCCCGCCACACCCGTGAAAGAACAATACAATCTATAAAATGAATAACAATTTTAACCATTGTAAAAGTCCCAGTCTTTAAATGGGAAGTGTGGGCCTGCTTTTGACTGATGATAGAGTCAAATTAATTAGGAGTTCTGTTGTTATGTGCCTTCAAGTTGTTTCAGACAGTGGAATATCCTGCCTCAGAGTCTAGTGGAAGTTTTTCAGCAGAGGTGGCATGGCCATCTGTCAGGAATTGCTTTGATTGTGGCAGGGGGAGCTTATAGTTGCCATCTGGCACTTCTCTTTTCTTTCCAAGGGAGGAGCCACAGCGAAGGGTAGCCTTTTTGGAAAACACAAGGCAGCAAAGTGGGATGGGGGGGGGGGCAGAGAAAGGAGGGAGGGAATCCAGGCAGGCATATTTGTACATATTTGCTTAAGTCCCCTTATGGTGATTTTACTAATTTAATTCAAGTGATGAATCGCAGAATCATATACTGAAAGACACAGCAAAGGCCATTTTGATGAACCCACTGCAACACAGAAAATGTTTTAAGTACATTCCTAGGGGGGTAATGATATGTTGGAAGGATGGTCATTTAAACACTGATACAAAAAGAAAATGCATTGGTACAAAAATGCAGAAAACACTACTTTGCATAAAATTTCATGTGATCATTTTTATGTATAAACTTACTTTTTAAAACAATTAATAAAATTAAATTAGGAATAACGTCACCATAGTGGGGAAGACTAACCAAATGATTTATGTTCTATTCATTCTACTGTGGAGGTGCTGTTAGTGGGCAGTTTTTAAGGCCCCATCTCTCCTTTTATATGATTCTTTATGTCAGTCTATAGCAGTGATTCTCAACCTTTGGGCCTCCAAGTATTTTGAACTTCAGCTCCCACAAATCCTAACAGCTGGTAAGATGGCTGGGATTTCTGGGAGTTGAAGTCCAAAACACCTGGGGCCCAAAGGTTGGGAACCACTGGTCTATAGGGGTTAAATATCCTAAAGGCACCTGATCCAGTCTGATCTTTAAATCTAAGGAGGGCCAGCCCTGTTTAGTACTTGGATAGAAAACCACCAATGAATACCATGTGCTGCAGGGAGTGACTGCCCCCTGGCCCAAGAAAATCTGATGAAATTAATGGCACCATAATACATTGACAGATGACTTAAAGGCACATAAAGACATATGTATCTCAGTCCAGACCTGAACTAGAAAGCCTTTAATATGGAGGATGCCTTCAGACAAAGAATTGGCCCCTGATGGGTCTTTCAAGCGGACAACTACCTTCTATAATTCAAATATATGACCTTTCTGCAAGCTAGAGGGAAACACCAGAGAGTGAAGCTTG